TATATTGCGGCTAGCGCTACGCTGCTCTCCCTTCTTCTATAATAAAAATTTTGTGTTTTAAAGTAACCATTTACATATTTAGTGTATCCGTTTTAACGCGAAACGTATTGGAGATATTTGGTTTGACCATTTACAAATCTCACAGGCTCTATAAGCTGAATGAAAAAGAGAAAAGTATGTACCAAGTTGTACACCATAATTCTTTCCTTATAGTTTACGTACGATTCCTCTAAACGGTGGAAATATAGTAGGCAAATATAGTTAGCAATGGGAAACAACTCACAACACAAAATCGCCGTACCTCAAATACGGTACAGTGTAGGCGTATTCGTTTGGCTGCTATGTCTGACCTGGATTGGATTGTATCTCTTCTTCGAAGGATTTCTTCTGACACGGTCAGTGATACAAAATAAATCGGAATATAATGAGAGCTCCGCTTCAAATGAGACCGGAATCTTCCAGCGGAAAGGTGAATACATACTTAAATACCGACTACATGTCACGTTTGAATGGGGTTTGTCATTGAATACAACTTTATGATTAAATGGGGTTTGTAACAAGATACATGCTGAAGAATGAGAACTAGTTCTATTTTAGGAGCTTGCTTTTCTCAAATTAAGCGATCAGCTTGATAATATGGTGTACCTATGTACGATCTGTAACGCATTTATGAGATATGATGTGCCTTGGGGAATAGATGCGAACTTGAGAATTTGATATACCTGTAGTCTTGTAGTAGTTAAGTATGAGAAAAAGACACTTTGTGTTGAGTAGTACCAAATAGCACTGCGAAGTGGCCAATATTTTTTTGGTACCATGTATAGATCAACAGCAGTTTCCAGGGTTGTTACCGTAAGTACAACACTACTATATGTAAATCGGTGATCGCATATGTATGACATTGGTTGGAGAGCCCACATTGAGCTGGATGTGTTTTGAGTGCTATCACATTTTTGGATATTGCCTTTTTGCCCTTTTGACGGGAGCCTGTGAAAGAGCCGTTCGATTTTATACCGTTGAAAACCGGAGGTGGCCTTTTGTAATCATAGACTACAGGTTTCTGTGCATACTTCGCACACCCAAATACGTTTCTTGCTTTTTAGCTCAAGTCCAAGCAGCTGCGTGAAAGAAAATCTGTTATAATATCTGCGAGTATAAGCACAAAGCTAGTTGTGTACGTGTATATGGCCAGTTACTGCTGCAGCCTCACAAAACCGGGCATCAGTTTCTCGGTATGAATATTATTGACTTTTTCGGTTTTGTGCGTGCGCATGAGTGCCGCGTATTAAGTATACCTGTGGTACCTGATTTATGAACATACACAGCCAATATTATATTTTTACGTTGTAGTACTTCCTTTTTAAACGTCGTTGTCTGACGCATATATACACAAACCGGTTCATTGTGGTCTCGAATGAATAGGCATTCGGTGCAGCCCAGAATAGACGGGCAGCGGTTCGTGCGTTGTGTGTGCGACACATATATAGCTACATATGTAAAAGCTTCGCAGACGTGTCACAACAGTGGTGCATTATTTCGCTCACATATTGATCATCTCATGCACGCGTATGTGTCCTACTCTCTCGCGCATATAATAGATCAAGATTGCATTTCTATATACCGATGTTTTACAAGCTGTTTTCATCCTTCCGGATCGTACTCTGCGTATGAGGACAAGTGAAGCCTAGTTTGTACCATCTCGTTTGTACAAAAGTGCTGCAACCATTTGATGTTGGTGCAGTTGCTCTAGTCGCTAAACTGCAAAACAATATCAAAGAAAGTTGTTAGACTGTACATTGATCGTCCTTGTCTTAACTATATCTCAGATAGCGCCTTGTACTCCCGGGCAGTTGTGGTGGTTATAGACGCACTACGATATGATTTTCTGGTCTCCAGCAACAACCAGTCATCCAGACCATTTGACAACAAACTGCAAGTACCTGGTCGACTCCTTACAAATCAAGAAGGTGTGAAGTCTGTAAGATGTTGTGTGTAAAATGCGCGAAGATATGAGACATTCATCGGTAGAAACCTCGCGTTCTTGTGTATCTGAACGTGGCTATCCACTGAATAGAGAAACAGATCATTTGACTATAAACTGGCACAGCGGGTATTTTGCTGGATATGTGTGACTGTAGGGCTCTGTGATTAGGCGACATACTTTATCCGCCCATATTTCTTGAACTCGAGTATCTGTGCTAACCTATTTTACATGTGTTTGCCCTAAATTTTACCCCAGGAAAAGTAGCTTCGTAATCGAGTTTATAATTAAGGGTTTTTAAGCTGGCACTAAGATGTAGCGGATCGATAATCTTGTGTACAATCATGCATGTGATGCATTCGTCAGTTTTAGTTGAACTTATTGGTCTGACAGACTGGTACCTGTTGCTTTCCTACCTTAACAGAGGCGGAGTATGCGCAGTTGTTCAAGTTCATTGCCGATGCTCCAACTACCACGATGCAGAGACTGAAGGTAACAGCTATCTGAGATTAGTTTTTAGAGTACATCGTAGCCTTATGTTGTCGCTATCTCGTGGTGATTCTGAACAACTGCTCGTCTTGCCTTCCATTGCGATATCTTTGTATCTACTCTATATTGGCAGCGTTGTTGGTTTTTAGTCTGAATCAAGTTAGGGGTTCGATTTGTATCGTATGTTTTGCTTTATGCAAGATTTCCTATTCAATTGTTATTAAAAATGTCAGTCGAGCCTTGTCATATTATGTGAGCTAATCGTAGTTCAATTTTCATTATTCGCCAGGGTTTGACTACTGGCTCCCTTCCCACATTCATCGATGCGGGTAACAACTTCGATAGCTCAATCGTAGAGGAAGACAACTGGCTTAGCCAACTCATTTCCAACGGGAAAAAGGTAAGCGTCACATCGGCCAGTATTTGCTCAGCTGGTTCATAGTACCTGTAGTCAATTCCTTGCCCTTCTTCTTTTGTTCCTTCCTACTTCTGTCTATCTTCATTATCAGTGCGCCATCCCCACATAGTGCTGGTTTAAAGACGGTAGGGCTCGTAACCTTGTTGATAAACAGCAAACTTTGACAGTGTGATAAGTGACTGAGCGTTACTATTGCTATGCATATATAAATGGCTCGTACACATGCAAGGCGGTGGTAATGGGCGATGATACGTGGGGCTCCCTGTTCGACGGTCTGTTTTTACGCAGTTATCTTTTTGACTCGTTCAATGTGCGCGACCTCCACTCTGTCGATAATGGTGTCGTCGCTAATCTGTTCCCGGAGATGAAAGGTATCTGCACTTCTCCGTCGTTGCCTATGTATTGGGGTCTATTTTGTCAAATAATATTTTGTCAATTTACTATGTATAGTAAATGTAGACGGTAATTTCGGTTACATTTCGAAGTAAAAAGGTAAAATACGATTCTGGGGCATGGTGGGTATGCTGTCGGTATGTTAGCTTTAAGATTGTTAATTCATGCATATAGCTTCTTTTCGATAGAGAAAGATTGGACCGTGTTGATTGCTCACTTCCTTGGAGTTGATCACTGCGGGCACACCTTTGGTCCGTATCACCCGGAGATGGCGGAGAAATTAAACGAGGTACGGTCTGTGAACATTTTACGTAGAAAGATATGTGGAGATCATCTGCATGGGGCGTATGTGATTTGAGTGGAATTTTTATGATATTTTAGGTAGGCCATTTTGAGCAAAGATTATGTATGTATATCGCGTATTTGATTTATATGACTCATAGGCTGTTGAGCATCTGAATGGACTAGATTGACTTCTGAGAATGCGAAATAGCATGTACCTAATATCACCCCCGAGATGTGGTTATTGTATTGTTGAAGACGCCAGTATGAAACCGGAAAATGCGTGTTGTAGTCAGAAAAACATCAATAAACATTGAAATGCCACTTTCCCGTAGTAGGATATTATACTTCTATTGGAGAAGAGTCGGTACGCGCCCCTCATCAGTCACCAGTCTTTTTCTCCCACAGTTACTCCACCTGCTCATGAAAACAAGAAACGCCAGTATGACAACCGAAACAGCATGTTTTATTCAGCGATATGTCTGTGAAAATTGAATTGTCACTTCTTAGGTCATGTATCAATTTATTTGACATCTAGCCAACATTTTCCTTTCCTCATAATTGCTGGCCTGTTTTCGTTACCCCTCAGATGAACACCGTACTGGAAGATTTGATTCTCGAGCTCGACGACGATACCATTCTATTTGTGCTAGGGGATCATGGCATGACTGAGAATGGGGATCACGGCGGAGATAGCGACAACGAGGTTGGCGCCGGGTTTTTTGCTTACACCAAGCAAGCTCCGTCTGCCACAACCACAAGAGAATCATCATCAGCTACGGCTGTGATGACCCCAAAAGAACACTGGGAACAGGTGGGTGCTGCTTTTCTTGATATTTCGTACTGAGATAGATCCGCACGTATAGTGTATATGGTACGATTGGAAGGCCTGGTGTAGAATTTTACCACGCACTATGTTGTGCTCGTGCATTCGACTCAGTTATACGCATAGCCCTAATACTCATACTCTCTTCTGCCAATTGCGCCGCTTTCTACAATGTCATCAGTATCTACGACTCGCAGACGAAGCTGAGGAGACTTTCGAGCGGCGTGAAATCCAGCAAATCGATTTCGTACCCACCATCTCGTTGCTCCTGGGGCTGCCGATTCCATTTGGAAATCTCGGGCGGATTGTGCCGGAAATGTTCTTCGTGCTTTCTGGTAAGTTGAACAAGCCAACAAACGTGTCGGGCAATATTCTCAGTTGTGCCGAAAGCGAAGCTCATTATTATATACACTTTGAACGCAACGCAGATGAGGAAAGCAAAAAGGTCAAGAAAACTTGCAGAGACAGAGACTCCGATTGTGAGCGCGCATACAGTGCTGCATTTCGTTTCCGTACTCTGAACTATGCAATGCAGTTGAATGCGGTGCAGGTAGAGAACTACCTCACGACGTACTCTAAAATGTAAGTATCGTGTGCTAGCAAGTATCTACTATATTACTGAGAAATGTGGTTTGACATCGATAAGTTTCCGATGTGGTGTCACGTGGCATATACTTCCGATTTGACTTTAATACTACTGACTAGTTTGCAACTTCATTAGAGTGCTGAATATACACAGCATCTGCTCTCGACATCTGGGGAGTTTCTCACTTAAGATGCTCGAAACCTTCTCTCTGGCAGGTCTTCTGACTTTCCAGTTGAGGAGCTGGTGCACTTGACGGCTTCGCTCGAGTCGATAATGTCGCGGCACACGACTCTGGAGCTCACGATAGAAGCCATCGACGATGGAGCCACAGATATCAATCAGTGTGTCCGCAATCTGAAAGAGGTATAATCAAAATCCGAAGTGTACGCGGCCTACCCGCATAGTAAGATTCAGTCATATTTATTGACAATATATTCTTCTGACTTGGCAGCAGCTGCACGGCGAGCTATTTTCTAAGAAATTCACCAACGTTTTACTTTCTCTGGTCGTCGTACAATTACAACCACCGTGTGTGAAGAACTATGCTGACTACTGCGCCTATCTGAAAAGGGTACGCCATATGACGGAACAGACATGGGCAAAATTTGATGTCGTCAGTATTGTCTGTGGTTTAGTAGTACTTGGATTAGCCTGCTCCAGTATGCTCCTACAGCTCACGCAGACCTGCTCTCCGAGCCAAGGTATTTATTCGAGTTCTACCCGTAGCAGATATGCTCAGATCAGACTTTTCTTGACTTGTATATTCTGTGATGCGAACCTTGAATGTTTCCTCATTAGAATACGCGCCATCTGCATTTAGTCTATGTCATCCACACATAGCAAACAAACATGAATTGGATTGTTGAAGGAGTTATTTATCCACTCCAGTTGGCATTCGTATCCTTCATGTATGAAACCGTGGTACTTTCAATCTATATCATTGAATGTCTGGTCGTCATCCTCACCACCACATCTTATCAGCCAACAGAGCTGCTAGTTGCATAATAAAGGGAGCTGTAGTAGGCCTGTTCTTGGGCATCACATTCGTTGTGTCAGGAGCCGATTCTGTGCTAGCTGCTTCTGGAATATCGGCGCCCGATTACCGTACCGTGATTCTGCTCACGATATCTATTTGTGGTGCTGCGGGCCATTATATCTCAGCGAATCGGATATGTAGTGCTTCTTGGAGGTATTTCAATACTTTTATATGATATTGTAAATTGTTTCTGATGGTACTTCGGATATTATCTAACATACCTCGAAGTGATTCTTATATTATTTTTTCTTGCAGTGAGATGTGCCCGAGAGGAACCACTATGGTTGTGAGTGCGTGCGTTGTGCTGCACATGTGCTGTTTCTTCTCAAACAGCTTCACAGTGTGGGAGGACCATGTGCTTTTATTTCTCTTGGCAACTTCGCTTGTAGCTATCACATTAAATGGACAGCACATTAAGGTACATAACGATTTGGGGGGGGGGATAAAAATGGCATGGTTGCTCTATGGAAAAGTCGTACTGTTGTAGGTCAATCACATTCGTCTGTGGAAAACCTCGCAGTATATTTGAGATCTGTCGACTTGCCTTGTTTTGGGAGAAAATTTGATTTTGGAGTATTCAATGTTCTTATTCGGAATAATCAAACATGCTGTGTTGTCTATGTGGGATCTAGACGACCTTGTACGGGCGGCTGCTTATCCTGATCCTCAGCCGGTGGGCAATACTCTATCGCGTCTGCCGTGAAGAACAATTTGGATATGGATGTATTCAACCGGAACTACCCTCCCTCACGAGCTTATTCGTCATTTTGGGTCTGTACACATCCTTCGCGGCGATTGGAACAGGTATGGTGTGTGCTCACTATGACTCTCGGCTATCGATCAGTCAGCGCACACTATGTACATGTTATAAGTCGGTAGACTCATATTACCGCCCTGAAAAAATAACAATAATGGAGTGTAGTTAACTAGCGTGATAAATGCGATTTCGAGGTGTGAACATCGATTTTGTACAAATATATGCGTATGCTTTTTGAAATGATTATTTCGGCCTGTTCAAACCGCACGTTTACAGTATTGCCACTGTCTGATAATTTTTTGTTGCAGGGTTGTGGACGTCAAGCGGAAAAATCTTGAGGCATACCATACTTGCACAAATTATCAGTCTGGCTTCCTACTGGTATCTACATCTTGGCATGGGTGAGTGTTCATTGTGGAACTGTTAACACTCATTGATAAGTATGCAAACTCGCATATACCTGCTGTTGTGTAACAATATTTCAATAAGTTAAAGCCGTTCCCCGTGCGTAGATTGAAATTTAACTACACAGTATACATCGTGCCTTTTACCAACAAGTTTTCACTATTCTGTACTCCAGGCGTGAATATGTCGACTCTGCCCTACTGGCAGCAAGTAGGGCCTCCCTGGGTATCGTATGCTGGCAATCTTATTGTTTTGATTATCACTATAAAAGAACTTGTCATTACTACTGAGGTGGCTAACAAGGGCAAGCAGGACAGTGAACTCGGCAGTATATCTCGCAACAAGAAATTGGATACAATGCAGCGCTGCCTGTTCTCATTCAGCCTTTTATTGTCTATAGTTACGGAGCCTCGATTCGTTCCCGGTCTATTCCTCCTATGTACATGCCTAGGGCAGTCGATATTGTCGGCGCGTGCCGTAACATATAGGAGGGTAACAAAAGATGATCCATGCCCGGAGAAGAAAGGTGTTGATATGAGTGAGTCAACTCAAACAGCCTTGCTTGTGGAGCTTGCATACTTGGGTCAAGTAGCGTCATATTTTTTCTTCGCCACGGGGCACCAGGCTTCCTTCCCTACTATACAATGGACAGCTGCATTTGTTGGGTTTACATCTATGTCCTACTATCCAGCAGGTAAGTTACGATATCGATTTTCTATGTTCGCCTTTAGTCACCAGCTTGCCAAGAATCTGAGCAGTTTTCGGCATGATTAAGTGCTTGTAGGGCAAACGCCAAACCTGTTGTATACTGTAAAGCGATACATTGTTCGAGAATGTGCTCCGTTCGTCATCACCAATCACATACATTTTGAGAGTCTACTAAGGAGCCCTAATATATTGACCCTATCCTCATCTTTTATCCACCAGTGGTCTTGCTGGTCCTTAATACCTACTCTGCGCATCTGATAGTCTTAGCTTCGTTCCCGATTATTCTGATGACTGCGGCGTCGTCTAGTGCACTCACCGACAAGCGGCCGAAGTTGTGCACGTCAGAAAACTCGAAATCTGAACACGATGCAATTGGCCTAGCACATCAAATAGATCTCATCACCAGGGCGCACATTTGGGGTCTGTTGTTCCGCAGTGTGATCTTGCTGTCGACTGCTGGTGCTGCCGCTATGCACAGGTAAATGCGAAAGCCTGATCTTAATTGTTTTATCCTAGTAGCGTGCCATATTCTTATGTCCTAACAATGTGCCAACTACTTTACTATAGAATAACTTACACGCAGTGTAGGATTATTGATACCAAGCTGACATGCGACCTATATTTCGAGTTTTATCAAACTTTGACCTCTTTACTGTTCTATTGTTTTTCATTTCTGCAGACGTCATCTGATGGTCTGGAAAATCTTTGCCCCGCGGTTTATATTTGAATCTGCTGGGAATTTAGTAGTGCACGCATGCTTGCTTGGCTCCTTAATACTGTGTCTAATTGTGGTCAAAGGCTCGCGTTGCCGGGAAACCAATCTGGTGAAACGAGGAGTACAATGATGTCATTCATATCTCTCATGACTACGTGTTCTCCGCGCGCGGTGGCTGTTCCTGGCAGAAGATTTCACTTGTGCAAGAAGAGTGTACGAATCATTAACTCGCCTTAAATTCGATCAGGGCTTTGTGAATCATTGCTGAACGTACACGCTAAAAAATGAAAAGCTACAAGGTCTCTTTGTGCAAGCATTGCTATACAAGCTAAATCATCAAAAGTTACATAGTATGTAAAAGACGATAAGCGCGGACTACAAGTATAATTTATGACGCGTGTCGGCTCAATTAGTCATCCATAAACAGAGCTGCTTCAATTTTAAGTTTATTTAGCGACACGCAGGAGATGTAGCTCCATGTGTGTGGTAAATACCGCATATAAATATACGTGCTCTAATTCCTGAATTAACCTGCACACACATACCGTGACTTGTCTCAAAGCAAACCCTAAATAATGCGGAGAAATATTTGACCAAAGCAGTGGAGTGCAAAGCCTGACTCAAATGTAACCCAATGTGAAAAGTGACTGGAGATTGTGCACTTTCAATCACCTTAAGCTCGCATGTAGTTCAACCCTCAGTGAGTATATGAGATTGATTTTTACATTGGGAAGTATCGAGGGTTCTGTGGACTCTCATATGTGACATCTAGATCTGAGTCTTCCACACAATGCATGAAAGCTAGGGTTAAATTCCCCGTGAGATAGACTATGTTTTTTGAGCTCGTTGCCAATACCACATGTGCGGCATGTCGAAGTCTAGGTGGATGTCTTGGCCCAATATCTGACACCTACGGCCAACCCCAAAAAAAAGATGAGAATAAAGGATATTAGCGAAATATGTGTATTTCATGGCAAAAGATGGCAAGACAAGCATTGATACTAACGCAAAAAAGTGCGATTTGGCGAAGGACAAGTACCCCACGAGCGGTACTGCTGTTACCTGATTCAATAATAAATCTAACAAAGTAAAACCAATCTCAAAGTCTTTTAGACCAACCACATACCCTAGTGGAATATCTCTGACGAATCATTGTCTTGCATGATGGGGGCATATCGCTGACGTCGTACTTCAAAACCAGCACCTTGATCGGTGTTCCATTCGGATTGATGATCGCAATATTTAATGACCCGCTTTTCGGAAGTCTGTACCATCCTGGCCGTCTAGAGTCCGCGAAGTTCCCTTCGCGCTTTACCACGGCGCAGTACGGTAACACGCTGTTACGAGCAGTCCAACAATCTTCACTGTTCTCAAAGTGTGTTACATTGGCATCCAAGGTAACCGAGGAATAGCTGCGAGTTGGTGAATAAACCCCCAATCTAACCGAGAATTGCATCAGAGGCTCAGCACACATCATCGACATCTTTGCGGTTAATAAATTATGCTCTATGCGTCCAATGAAGCCCGTCGACGCGCGGAGAAGAGATGGAGATCCTTCTCCATTGTCATGCCGAACAGCGCCGGCACTCATACTGAGAGCTCTGGGGCGCGGTGTTCGCGAACTGCTAGAAGCTACGACTAACGGTGGCGACTTCCAAGTACAGTATGCCAAACGTTGTTCTGCTTGTAAGTGCGAGCGCGAAAAACGCAATGGGGAAGTTGCTATACACTTGCGACACTGTCCTGAGAATCTTGATTGCAATTGGTCTCTCCTCACTGTGAATCGTGCGTGAGATATGTTTGCTGGCAAGATGTCGGGGATGGGCTCCGCCTGTAGACACGATGGAGATATATGATTAATCATGCGACACTAATTAAGTCGACTCAGAATTACTTAAATGAATCGCGAGATCGGGTGCATGATGTGCATAAGATCCAGTATGCTGATAGCGACTGGACAAAACATACATGTGCGTACAAAACTTCACTTGACAACTTACTTTTGTTATAGAATCAAACTTTCGCACGAAACTGTTTCCAACGGTCCCAACAATGGGTTTGATTGACGAGCAAAGCCGAGTCCTATCGTACTGTGCATATTGTTCGGATTTAACACGTCTCTCTATCCGTGTGTCTGCCCAGTGCGAGGGCAAATTTGGTAGATTTGGTAAACTGTTTGTCCCTACTTTGACGCTACATATAATGCACACAGCCATCTCTCCTCTCTCAAGAGGAAGTTTCGAGGGAGGCTTTAGTTGTCTATACACCTCCACGTAGTTACAAGCTGGTTCGGGGAGCCCGCTCTCGTCGTCGCTTTGTATATTGATAGTGATGTACTCACTTCCATTGCGCCTGTGCCTCACTTCAGTAATATATTCTATGGCTTTTGCAAGATCTTTCCGTTGAAATTCATCTACGAAGTCGTGGCTGCAATATAAACGGAAGCACGATTAACACAGGGGTGTATGGTTTGATCTCACAATCGATGCAAAATGGATTGTACGGTACACACTTCAACAAACTAAGAAGACGAAAAAGAGAAAACAGGATACGCGACTGAAGCAAAACACTTACCAGGTGAACTTCAGTTGCCAGCGCTCCAACAGAACATCTTTTCGTTTAGTTTTATAGCAATGGATGTATAATGGATTTGCATTCCGGAAAGCCGTCCCAACGGTACAGTGCGGATATTCAAGATAGCCGTCGTTTGGGGTCTCGTAGACTATTAACTTTAACAAGTACCGTCCGATCTCGTTCGGTAACATACTCTTAGTAATACCCTGATAATCGTTCTGAGCCCCACGCTTGACTGCATCGAGCGCAGCATCCTGATCCGCCTTGCAAGCCACTTCAGCCCTACAGGCCACGTCATAAAGCATTTCACATTCGATACGATTCAACAAATAATAAATTTTACTATACAAGGAGATCAAACTGTACGACCGTTGCGTTTATAATACCATACAAATCGCTTGACAAACTTGAAAATTACAAGCATATGAAAATCAAACAGGGCGTATCTTTAATGTCGCCATCTGCTGGCAATTCAACCTTCCACTATAAGCGCCCACGACCAATAAGAGCGCAATGCCTAGTCCATACTGCACGCAAGTCCCGTAAGCGCGACAACAGTGTCAACACGTAAATCAGTCGTAAAGAATTATAAAAGGGTTGTAACTAATCAAAACTGATCAGTACTGCAACAGTGTTGCGCTTCGAAGAAGTCGAACTCTTTGCATACTACATAACAGCAGACGCGCACAATAAAAGTCGGCAACGAACATCATACCTCCTCTTGCAAAGGACAAGATTGTGGTCTGTTCGTGTCTGGCTATCCAACATCGCTTCGTAATCATACACAGCACGGTATTCGGTGGGTCGACAGCGACGTCACACAATTTCCCACTTTGAATGTGTATGTGAATCTGTATGTGTGTGTATTTATGTGTGTATGTATACGTGACTTTCTAAGAAGCAGGAAGCTGGCTATGCAACAATACAAATGATGCATCTATGTATCTCTCTGCAGTCTGCTCTCTGCAGGAGTCAATAGAGATTATACTATAAAAAAAATTAAGGACGATGTACTTCCAAAGTGCCAGCCAGAGGAGCGAATATTTATAAATATGATGAATCATCATCGATAAAATACAGCTCCAATTCAACAGCAGATTTAAAAATATGTGTACATTTGTACAGTATAAAAAAACGTAAAATATATACGAATGTGTACGTCTGTCCATAGATGATGATTATTGCGGGTTAAGACTATGAGTCACATTGTCCATTTTCTAACACAACGTACTGTACTCTCATCGGTGACTCCGGTTTTATGTGTGCCTGGATATCAGTGACGTATGTTGTTATGATATTGGGGAGGATAAATATATGTACATTTTAAATAAGACGTCGCGTCGTATACAAGTACGAGCGGAGATTGATCTGTCGGCTTGCATCCAACCGTGACGACCGCTGCTGATACTTGCCTGTGCGAGGGGAACAGATGAAAAAATGTACGTAGGGTGGGCCGCGAGGAGAACAGATGATTAGAAGGATCTTCTGTTCTTCACTTTCATACCCTACTAAGTGTTACTTGGTTTTGACCACATTTTTAAGTGCTCGAACTACTGTATTTATTACATTACGTTCCTCACAGGTTAAGGTAACTAAAATTAATTGGTTATGTATTTTTTGTTACACGATCCGAGGGCCAACTATTGCCTCAACTTCAAAGTTTGCATTAACGAAGCCAAGAAGTGAGACAAGGGATACGTCTCAAGACGACCCAACACATTCTTCTGACGAAAATCAGAAGGGAAAGTCCCCAATTATGAGGGCGTCCCCAATTATAGGGGACAAGGACAAATCCCAGAAGGAACCTATTATGGAACCAGAAGAGGAGGCAAGCTCAAGTAGCAAAACCGAATCTACGTCCGAGACTTCTAAGCCGAAGCCCATAAGTAAGTTAATTGCTAAATACGCTGATCTTAAAAATCAGTTAACTACTATTATGAAAGACTTGACTGTCGAACATGTAGATCAACTAGATAGATCAGGAAACCATACACAGCGCTTACGCGAGCATGTTTCCCCGGGAATTACTGAAGCCCTGCAGAAGTGGACAGAACGTCGACAGGCAATTACGCCCAAAGACTCAAGCTCGACACCTGAATCATTTGATCCAGAGGTGCACAGCGTCGATATACCGTACGAGGCATTACTACCAGAAGTACAGGCTAATCATTTGCCTGTTCTGACACCCGGCCGTGAGTCACCTGTCCTCAAGGGTATTATAGACCGAGAGGTAAGAAGATATACTCCACCACTTGTACTCAATTGGGAGGATAATTGTCGGAAACCAGTATCCTTGCGTTGATTGATCCTGGTTCAGAAATTTCATGTATATCCGATCGCTTTGCATTAATGAAAGATATCGAAAGGAGAACACAAACAAATCACCTCATTTTAGCTGATGATAAAACTGCTAAGTGTGATACCAAGGCCACAGATGTTAAAATCTCCCTGGTCGATGATAGGAGTATTACTACTCAAGCTGTGATAGTTGAGATGTCACAGAAGTATGACATTATAGTCGGAATGAGTGATTTACTAACTCTAGGTATAACCGTAACTGGTCTACCAACTAACATAGATCCATTAAAGGATCAATCAGACGACAACTGTCTTAATCCATATA